TGCTCATCTTTGACGGCCCACACCATGAGGTCAACGCAGGCAGCGTTGGCTTGACAACGAAGCTTGAGGGGGCTCTGTTCCCCTGGCAACGCCCCTGTATCATGAAGTACCCGCTGCAGCTCCGACTGACTGCTGCTAAACTGCTCCAGTACAAAGTCGTGCACCTCCCGTACAAATGCCGGCTGCAAAGCTGAGAAACATGAAGAAAGAATTAAAATTATTAGTGAAGTAGTATATTTAATAGACAACAATCATTTCAAGACTGCATGGCTTTGTTGCATAATAAATAAGCTATTTAAAATCCTTTACCTTTCATGTAGTATAGTGTGTCCCGCAGCATTTTGAACACACACACATAGAGAGGGTCACTGAAGGTTTTGTAACAGAGGTTGATTCCAGGATTAGACTTAATAACAAAACAGAAGAGACAATGACAGGAAAGATTATTTAACTGATAACAGCACACATTTAACTTTTACCATTTACAATTTTTGTACAGAAAGTGTTTACATAGTTACCTCTGTAACTTCCGTCATAGTGGCGTCCAGATTTTTTAAAAAAGCATCAGAAACAAACTTCTTCACCTGTAATTTGAAAATATGGACACTGTTAAAGATGCATTTAAGGTTGCTGCAGTTTACCAATACCACTGTATACTGTGGCATGAAAACTGACCATTATCATTCCCGATACATTTGCTTATTTACAGTATTGAACTCTTAATTACTGTATTGTGTGACTAATATATTGTGAAATTATAATAAAGTCTTCAGACAAAAAAACTAACTCTTCTGTTTTTATTCCTTTAATGGTCACTGTAACTGATGATAAACAATTGTGTAGTACCGTATACCGTGAAACTATGATATTATCTGAGATGGTTATCATACCGTGAGAATCTTTAACAGTTGCAACCCTAGATTCAGTAGCTATAAAGGATGGCAGACAACAGAAGTTATCTTGGTAAACAAGTAGTTGCTACTGTACCATGCCAAGGAGCTGTCGGAGCAGATCAACGGGCACCTCCACCTCGTTTTCTCCTACTCCCAAGAAGAGAGGAGACACTGAGAAACTGGAGCTGACTGTAGAGAAATAGTGATCAGGATCGACCGTGCTGCTGTCTGGGAGGTAGGCACCTGAAATGAAGGAGACCACAGGACATATGAAAAGATGTGACGAGTTCAGGGTGCTTGTTACTGAACGATACTTTAGTCTACTGAGATTACGGTTAATAATGAAAATAATGGATTTCTTCTTGTATGACTGTTGATCATAAGTGCAGAATACTGACTCAAGTACAAAAGAACTCCACCTGACTGACATCCAAAAACTGATAATAACAGTTAAAGTTTAGGAGAGCTGAAATGTTTTTTGCTATCAAAGTCAACAGAAGCTGAGCTCGAAATATCTCAATATGATGTCACATAAATCTTAGTTTGGCCATTAACAACAATCTGACTAACCCTGTTAATGTGATTCCAAACCAATATAAGCAGCAGGGAAATGGATGGATGGATTGACACTAAAAGCACTGTTGGCATGAGACCAAGGATAGCAGGGATCTCATGCATGGTAAGTTTACTGTACAGTAATGATAACAAGGTATAACAGTTTATTGATATAGGTAAGCTATGATATAGATAGAATGGACTACACTGTTTGTTCTGGTAGAAAAAAGATTTGAATTGTCATGTCGCATAAATCCAGGTTTACATTGACAAACACAAATTCAATCGAAGCAGCTTGTGTTTCTTGAGTTTTACCTTCAAAGTAATGTGGGCCAGGGGCTGTCGGAGAGCAGGGTGAGTGGCCTCCTGAATCCGTACAGACCTACGAGACAGCACGTTACAGAAACTTTCTTTAACCAATAACACACATTACGACTCTCTCTCTCTCCTCTCTCTGACTTTTTTGTGAGGTATAATCACAAAGTATGTGAGAATATTATAACTCTGCAGTCACCTCTAATTGTCCTTAATCAAACAACCTACACATACCTGTGCAGAGGGATCCAGGTTGGTCCCAGTGCTTCTGCGCAGTGTGTCACTCTGGCACACTGTAAGCAGTGAGGATGGCAGGATAGAACGAAAGTCATTGAAGGACCTGCGCCGCACTCCCTCTGTTTCCTCTGTGACGCAGCGGGCCTGCGGCGAGTCTTTGGGGAACAACTTGGACAACAGAGCTTCGTCTGTGTTGCTGTAGCGGCCAAATGCTCGAGTCATGCCAAGCAGGCTGGGGACAATATACCTGCACAGGTAGACTAGAGGAAAGAGAGCATCTGTGAAGCTTTTTGAATGACTGTTGTTATGTACATTGTTGCCTTTGTGTGTGTGTGTGTGTGTGTGTGTGTGTATACCTTTGTCATGATTATCAGGTGTTTGACACATATCCTGCAATGCCTGCATGACCTCCATTATAGTATTCAAGATCTGTAGGGGAAACAGTAGAAACAATAACTTAATATTTAACTGCAATGCACCGTTACGTAAGAATTATACATTATGAGCACTTTTTAAGCTGACCTCTTGTCGGGAGTCTTGGTCCCTCTGAGACACATCTGCCAAAAGAGTCACTAGACAGAAGCTGAAGTTTTCTGCAACCGGGAGAAATTCTGAAGAGCAGAAAATGACAAAAACACCAATAATAAGGTTTTTGTACAGCAAGAAAAATAAGTGCATCAAAAAATCGCGTTGCATTTTATGGATATCAATACTATCTCAAATAATGTTGACAAACACTACTTAGTGCACTGCTACAGCAAGTAAATAGAGGCCATTGTAAAACAAAAGGGCCCCCTATAAGAGGATTGTTCTTACCCTTTCCTTTCTTTCCAGAACTCTCTTCGATCCATTGGACCCGTGGTAGCCCTCTCAATAGGCTCAGCAAGTAGGAAACAAGTACGTCTTTGTGCTGCCAGAGAAAAGCAAATCTTTACACCCCACAAACAACTGCACTTGTTGGCACAGAACAACACATTTGTTTGCCAAACAAGCACTGATGAATCAAAAATATGACGTATTGTTAATTCTGAAACGATCAAATCTGGGTCAAAGAAAATATATCACATATTACTTTAACACTAAAAAGTGAAGCTACCGTCTCTACTTAATCAGATGGCTGGTAAGCTTTCCGCACTGTGTCTCAGTGTGATGAGGTTAGAGGCTTACACGGCCAGCTGTATGTCTAATCGCCAGTTTAATCAGATTATGAGAATAAGCTTATCATGCTGATATGTGTGGAGTCCTGTGGCAGACTGGTAGCAAAAGCAGGCTAATAGTATTAATATAATAATACTAATAATTTCTGTATAATATAACACGTTACTGCATCCATATGTAATAGACTGTGTGAATTGTGTAATGTTTGGATCTTACATCCACCGTATTATCTATTCACTGCCAGGATAGCCCAAAGATCTAATATTTAAAGTGACGATGAAATGCACCCACTGTGTTAAAAAGGTGATCACCACCCACCTGTAAGCCAGACTCCACCAGAAACACAGCCAGCGCAATAACAGCGTCTCTGCGACGCACATCTAGAGTGAACACACCACGGACTTCCACTGGACACATACATTGTAGCTTCTGGACCTGAAAGAGAAATAAAAAGAGCCGTCTTTATGTAGTTACAGTATTAAAGGCCTGGTGTTGCAGCGTTGTTGCCTGTTTAGTGAGTGATTGCATGTTCCAATATTGAGGAGTTTGGTTTTTGTTAGTTATACGAGGAATATCAGGAAACTTCACACACATTACATTTATGCACACTGGTCTAAAGTTAGATACTGCATAAACCTTTCTATTTTTTTGTTAGTTGTCCATATTTTTTCTACTTCTACTTTTGTGTTTTCTGTTCCTACCTCATCTGTCTTTGCGTCTTTCTGTCTCTCCCTACTGGAGATCAAAAAAGTTTACTGTATGTTAAAGTATCAAGATGGGAACCATAAGCTATTATGTTGCTTTACATGTTGTATCATGATATATATATTTATGATATTATAGTGCAAGACACTATAGCTTTTAAAAAAAGAAAAACCCACTGAAACTGGACATTACATAACAAACATGCTCTATATAATATCAATACTCAGTGGCAGTGTATTGATTATTGCCTCAATATGTCCCCGTACATTTTATTTGAATAAAAAAAAAAACCTAAATATTACTTTACCCTTCCTGACTTTTTCTTAACTCATTTATCTCCTTTTATTGGCCAAAAAAAACGTTTAAACTACACCTGATTATCTTTGCAACAGGTTAGAAACTGTATATAATGAGAGCACACAGTACAAAAACCTGTTTGACTGCAGTGCTGATCGAGCCGGACTACTCTTCCGATGTGATGCAGTAACAAGCGCCGCACAAGCAGCTACGCCACTTTTCTCCTGCATTGCTCTCTTCCACTATTACAGAGAAAACAATGTCGAGGAGAGCCAGCTCCACTGATTCATAACTACAGACGCGCACACACCACGCAAATGTTAGCTTGGCTGTCAAGTCAGTGATCAAAATAAGCTTCCGACTGTGCGGAAACGGAGCTACACCCTGAACAAACCCTGTTGCTTTGCGTTACTAACGAAGCGTAATGAATAGAAATGTAGTGTTGTGGAGCTCACTCGGCTCTGCTCCGTCCTCACCTTGTCGACCGGTGCGGGGCGGTGGGCAGCTAAAGAGCGGGCCAGAGACAGGACCGTGTTGAAGTAAAACCCTCTCGTACCACCTCCCATTACAGACATGTTTACCCCTACATCAAACGAGCTCAAGTCCGAGAGGAAACAAGCACTCAGAGGCAGCCGGCGCTGGCAAAACCGCAGTACGGCGACTCGGCAGGGACAATCCTAACTAGGACCTGCAGTTACGTTAGTTGCATTATATTTGAGCAGACGAATGTTATTTTAACAAGAGTGGCGGGTAAAACAAAACAATTCGTCGCCTGTTGTCCTATTTAAGAGCTTTTCTTTAATAAATTACTTCCCTATCACCAGATGCGTTTTTGTTGCGCACGATTAACCGTCACGACGCAGCAACGTCACCAGACGTAACCGGAAGCGTTGTGCTGCTAACAGTCAGCTGATAGAGCAACAACAACGTCGACCACACCGCCGACGGTCAAAGGTTTGTCCGTCCAATTGATCTTTACTGGTTCATTTTTATATACCGTCTGTTCTACGGGAAGAAAATGTCAATATTCTTCTCGTCTGGGTGTGGTTATTTGGTTTGATGCCGATCCTTGTTAAACACCCAGCTGTTGCTAGCCAACACCCTTTAGCTTACTTAACTAGCTTTAACAGTTGAAATATAACGCTGGTTGGTGCTACATCGCAACAATGCACTTTACTTTGTGTTAATATTTTACCAGATGATTATGATGATGATGAAGGAAACATCTTAACCGACTCTGTTCATTGTTTTTACTGTGTGGAAGTTGTAGCTAACTCGATGAAGCTATCGATCTAAAGATAAGGGTCAATGCATTTCTCTTAAGGTTAGCGTACCAAACAATCATTTCTATTTATCACTTAATTCTTAAAGTTGTTTATTGTAGGGATACAACAAAGCATTGTGTTCATAATGTATTCTGTATCTATCAGTTGAGTAGTAACCAGAAAGTGTGTGAAATGTGACAAGCTGATAAATGCAAGTCTCCAGTAATATAAGTTATAATGTGGGAAAATATCTTTTTTCATTTGTAATTATATGAAACAAAGAAAGGTAATTCTGTGTTTCTGCTCCACAGATGGCCTACCCTAAATCCCACAACCCGTTTGCAGATGATGATGATGAGGAAGATTTTAAGCCTAAAAGTAGGGGGTTTGATGACGATGACGGGTTTGATAGTGGGATGAGTGAAGCGGAGAAGAGGCAGAGGTACCTCCAGCAAGAAGTGATGCGTACAGCTCAGTCTGCTGTGGACAGCAGTCACCGTTCCCTCGGCCTCATCTATGAATCCGAGAAGATGGGGGTGGAAACTGCAGAGGTATGTCAAACTAATCAGCTTTACCTTCTTACCTTCAGCATCTCCTCTCGCAGACTCTATCTATCTACCAATCGATCTATCTGTCTATCGATCTATTTTTCTCTTGTCTTTGTCTCTCTAGGAGCTGGTGCGACAGGGTGAGGTCCTGAAGAGGACAGACAAGATGTTGGACAACATGGATCAGGACCTTAAGACCAGCCAGAAGCACATTACCAGTATCAAGAGTGTGTGGGGCGGCCTTGTCAATTACTTCAAGGGCAAACCAGAGACAAAGCCACCACCTGAGCAGCCAAAGGCCTACCAGGCCACCGACAGGTACGATTCAGTACTAGTTAGTTAGTTTATTGACTTAAATGTCACAGTACAAATATGGGAAATAACTTTACATAATTCAGTCAAAACATATAATTTTGTCAACACATAACGTAAATAAACAACACGGTCAGTTTCTTACATTTTCAGGCGAGTAGGCAATCATAACTTTGACCCTCTCTCTCTGACACTCTGCCTATAATCTCTGAATGAAGATCATTTCTGTTAGGTCCAAATTTTATTCAGATGTCATGAGTCTGAAGACATAATAGTACCATAGGGCTTTTCCCACTGTATATAAGAGTTGACCCGGGGATACCTTAACTGCTTTCAAATACACACATTGTTAACCCACAGTTAACCTAAGCACAGGGCTATACAGTTCACACTACACATCTGCTAGCCCTCACATGTGACTAATGTTTACATTCTGTTTACTTTTGCTCTGTTTCACACTGGCACATTTTAGCCCTGTGTTTAGGTGTTTTTCAGGGGATAGCTCTGCAAACTTGGGGCTCACCGTACTCAGGAGTAGCAAGCCCCAGGCTAAACTCAGGTTTAGTCCACTTTAGAATGTTTCAGGATTGTGCCAGTGTGAAAGCTTTCTTAGTCCGAGGCTAACAGCTCCCTTAGCCTGGTGCTAAGAAGGTACTAAGAAAGCTTTTAGCCCGGGCTAAGCGCAGTGTGAAATGCCCTATGTCTTTCATTCTCGAGTGCCCCATGTGCGTGTCATTGATCAAATACGTGTACGACTCCATCTTCAATTCAATTCAGTTCAATTCAATTTTATTTGTATAGCGCCAATTCATAACAGAAGTTATCTCAGGACACTTTTCAAATAGAGCAGGTCTAGACCGAACTCTTTAAAACACTTCCTGATTCAATACATGTGTGATGACAGGTGGGACCTTGTAAATGCACTTTATGATCTTCAGTATTAGGGTATAGTAGTAGGCATACTTAATTAAACCCTCTCGGAGAATTATTTTCACTCCTATCACAAACAAACCTATACACGTACATTAATGTATGAAGGGATGTCAGAGTGAGGGGGCTGCCACATGGGACAGTTAAGGGGTTTAGTTTTTTTTTAGTTTTTTATGTCTTATATTTGCTTCTGTCCTTTACTTGCACCCCTTTAATCATCTCAAATTAGTCAATTCTGTTATAATCCATCATTTTCATCACTTGTACAAGGTAAATTTAACAGCCTCCTCCTTACACCACCTGCTCAGATATTCTTTGGTTCTACTTTACTCAATATGTTCGGTCAAAAACCGAAAGGCCTTAGGCTCAGATGTACACACCCAAGTTTAGAGAGATGGGCAGTATTTTCCACCCCAAACCTTTTTTTGGACAGTCCGTTATGTAGCAGGCTGTGTGAATTATGATGGACACAACTCTCAGAGTACCAGCTCAGCTCACCTCTGCCGGCAGATATTTTATAGTCTCTCTATTCCTTTTAGTATACCCATGATATTGGTATATTTCTTTGTGTTGTAAGGGTCACCTCTTACCTACAGTGTGAGGAAGTCTTATGAAGAGTAAGTTACAACCAGACAGACACTGTTAGACAAGTTTAATATCTTCTTTCTTGATCTATTACCTTTAGCACCAGGTCTTCGCACACATACATCCTTTCTATGTTGAGATCAGATTTTACAACAAAGCCTTTATAACGATTACTCATAGTTGAGTAATGCTACCATAAAATTTGTGCTTTTGCCATTTCCAGCCTCTCATCTTTGTCCTTCACCAAAGGGTCAAATAATGCTTATCTGACTTTCTCAGATTACAGACCGCCTTGTCCAGCAGCAAAGAACATGAAGATAAGTACCAAGCCAGCCACCCCAACCTAAGAAAGTTGGATACAGGAGGTAAGAGTTTTCACAAGAACCTAAGCATGCCATAACCATACCACAAGCTGGCTGCCACCATTTCTGATTTCTGTGTTCCAGGATTTGGAGCTGCTGCATCAGTAGATGACAGCTCATCGAGACAGAATGGATACCCTCAGAACAAACACCTCAGGGAGGCTCACCAGACCCTCGACAATAATTTAGGTAAAGAAACATTTCTGTTTGAATCTCCTTTTATTTTTACTTGATTATAATAAACAGTAATACACAGTTTTATAAAGTGCAGTCACAAGAAGAGGCACAAGGGGATGACGTCAAAGCTTTTGATAATGTTTACATGATAATTCTATTCTGTCTATTTCATTTTTCATCTATTTCCCTTGTATCAAGACACCATTACAATGACATGTTTTGTTCTTCCAAAAGTATAACCATAAAATATCCATTGGTTAATCTAAAATAGCAATGAACTTAACAATCTGAGTTAGGTGTAAAATATTATGTTATATTATGTATGAGGTAAAAAAACAAAAAACAGTTCCCTTTAAGTATTATCTACCAATCCACAGTTTAATTGATGTCCCTTTTGAATGACCTCCTGTAGATGAGATGTGCGATGGTTTGAGCAGACTGAAGAACCTTGGTCTTGGTCTCCAGTCTGAGATTGACAACCAGGACGTCTCCCTTGATTCTCTGCTGAATAAAGTGGACAAGATGGATCTCAAGATCCACAACACAAACCAACAGATTAAAAACCTCAAATAAAACAAACACTTGAACTCACCTTACAGAGACAAAAGACAGCAACAGGTCATCCTCCTACTCGACTCTCAACCTTGGCCTCTGTTCAATGAACTATGTGTTCTTTTTGTTTATTGTTTTTATGGATTGGAACTCAGATAAGCAAGTGAACATCTTTTTATCCATTTTATTTTCATTTTGAATGACTGAAATACTGTTGGACAGATTTCCCCATAAGTCAAAGTTTAGCAGAGAGATTCTTCCTGCCACTTCACTGAATTGTTTGTGTGCTTTGAAGGGAATACTCTATTCCATGTGTGTATTAGATATAAGAGACCGTCTTTGTCCAGGTAAAATCTGTTCATTCGCTCCATCAAGGTCCAAGCTGTCTGAATGTAGTCTGTCGTATTTCCCTTGGTTTAGATGATTAGAGTTTCAGTTTGATCAGCTTTTCTTAATCGCCAGAGACATAAAAATGGCTACTAGATTGCTCAGCATTCAGGCAAAACATATGAATGACAATTAATAATAAATAATTTGGTATAGAGACAAGACAGAGAAACTGGAATATTTTGTGTGTATGATTCATATGTCAGTGCTAACTCTAATTCCTGGACCTGTATGTACAAAACACTTTGGATGTCTTCTCAAGTCACTTTTGCCTTACAGATCATTTGTATGTGCAGTAGACTAACTTTTGGTTCTGTGCCATTTTTCTGTCTCCACTTGTATTTTTTTTTCACTTTGTTTGATTTAGGTATGTTCATGTTCCTCAATGCTTTCACTAGCTTTATATAATTTGTTTGTATTGCAGAATGTGATTGAATGAATGATTATACAGCATACATGATGTGAACAAGCTAGCTGTGAATATGAAAAACTCAAAACTGAAAGAATATCCCCATTATTATTATTATACATCCTCCATGGGAGAAATGTATGAATGAGTAGATGAACCACTTTTATGTTTTTTATAAATTAAAACAAGGATATTCTAAGAAAATAATCCAAAATAAGAACATAAATGAGGATTTATGGTCACAAGGTTTAATTTTCACCATGTACATCATGTATTCTAATCAAAGCCACATACTCAATAAAAACATTTATAAGGGGGATGTCTCAGGTGTTTTATAAATTGTCTTTCTGTTCAAATGGAGCAGGAAGTCAAAAGCACCACAAGGTGACGCCACATTTCTAGAGTAGAATGAGCTCCTGCAGAGAGATACTGCTGTTAATCAGTCATCAGTCAGTGTCATTTTACAACCCAAGAAGACTTATTGCTGTTGAAACTAACTAGACACTGAGTATACCAAAACTCCCCTCTCCGAAAGACCAAAATAATTTAGTAAATTTAGTTTTAGCCTGTTTTTTTCTGCATTGTAATGAGGCACAATCCTTAAAAGCAAGACTTTGATGATTTTTTTTTCTCAATATGATCATCATTGTGTGTGTGTGTGTGTGTGTGTGTGTGTGTGTGTGTGTGTGTGTGTGTGTGTGTGTGTGTGTGTGTGTGTGCGTGTGCGTGTGCGTGTGCGTGTGTGTGTGTGTGTTTACTATACTGGCTCCGTTGTGTACCAGCTGTGTTGCTGTGTGTAGCTCAGGTCTTCATGTCGGGGTGTCTATTCATTATCATTCCTCTGTTTTGGACCAGCTGCTCCCACAGAGGCCCTCATTAGGATGACTTGCTAATTACAGTACACACTTCCCAAAAACACATATGTACACAACATTGGGGGGAAACAGAGGGGGAAATGGGGGTCCCAACTACCCAGGGCCCCAAGCTGAGTAAGACCGCTGCATGTCTGAACTAGAATAATTTTTGTGAGTTCTCAAGCATGTATTTGTAGATATATTCTATTTTTATTGGAAGAAATGCTTGGTTGAATGCTACTGTACCAAACCCTCTCAAAAATATATAGAGTAGGTGTTAAACAGCAATAGTCCTAAGATTGTCCAAAAAACATATTTCATGTAGTGATTGGTCCATTAATTGATCAGTAAATGAATGCACTCGGTTGTGTTTTAGTTGTGGATGGGTTGACACATGATAATGGTGGTAAAGGGGTGAATATGGGGCAGATAATTCCTAGCTACAACACTGTAACACAGTGACTCCTCCTATTGCACGTGTGGTGTACACACACAAGGAAGGGAGAAGTCAAGGATGTTCCAGCAGGCAAAGCAGTCATACAGACAAAATAGTGGCATTTTTGTTTGGGTCTAGGAAAGGAGATGCATCTAAGTTGGGGGGTGGGTATTTTTCTAGATGCAGGATGGAAATGTTCAACTTATATTTGTGAATGTAATGACATGAGATGCTCAAACTAGGGGTCTACTGGGGATGAATATAATGTCGAAGCGACCTCAGGTGGTGGCGGCACCGACACCACCATTAAACGGAAGTCACCCCTGGGTTTGTTCCCTTCACGGTATCCGTGGGGGCCGGGAGGGCTTTGAACAGCTGTCTTGTCAAAAGCAAACAGTGGCCGTGCTGTGACAAAGGCCGCCGGTGCTGGAATGCCCCCCTTTTGAGTGGGTGTAATCCCAGAACACACTGCTGTCGGAGCCCATCAGGCACTGGGCCAGAGATGGGCCTTCCTGCCCTTTGGAAAGCGGGTTAGCAGCAGAGGCAGGGCAGCCAGGGGGGTAAAGCCTGCTTCAGAGGGGATGGACTGTCAGGCTGACAGCACTCTATTGCCACTGTTGTAGTAAGAGAAAATAAAGAGTTGTGCTGACGGAGGGGAGTTTGGTAGGGAGCTGGTGAGAGGGAGGAGGGAGGGAGGAGTGCAGGGTAAGGGAGAGGGTGGCTGGAGAGATTAATGGAGGAGGTAAAGTTCAAGTGCCACCGAGATGAAACACATGGAAGTAGCCGGGAGTATGAATCTTTCTCAAAGGACTAATGTGGGAGGTGTTGATTGGTTCAAGCCTGGGTCGTCACGTTGCATTTTTCAGACAAAAATGCCCATCATTTATATAGAGAATGAGTGGCCTGCAATATTTTCTTAATTTAAAACCTAAATAGGGGACACATACTCAAATCCATCCTAAGTTGTGCTTTACCTCTCATTTCCTCTGCTGAGTCTCATTACCTTCCTGCTAACACCCCAGCTTGTGAGGAACACCTATACTGTACAGTAAATATCCTGACTAATAGAGGATGCATCAGTTGGTTTTGCACAAAGTAAGAGAAAATGAAAAACATTAAAGGTTCTGACACTGTTGTTTAAACCTGTCAGCAAGGACACGGAGCCATGGCTTTACAAACAAACGTTCAGGGTCAGAGTCAAGGTTTAGACATCCCCTCCTCCATGTTCACTTACCTAGTCCATATATCACATAAAGGAGGAGGGAAACTGGCTTTCAAATTATCCAGAGCTGCTGTGAAAACAAAAAAATGCGAGTGACAGATATATTTTCAGATTATGTTAGTTGTCCAGTGTCTCAGGCCTCGTGTTTAACCTGTCCACACCTCATCTCTGGAAGTGACATCACAAAAACAAAGCCCAAATTGTAGGAGAATGAGACATGATTATACATATTAGTTGTCATTTGGCTTGTCGTCATCCCGTTTACACCACAAGAAGAAAAATGTCAAGAATGCAACAGAAATATGTTGATGGGTACATGTCTGCATTAGGTTACGTATGTTCAACAGCGCTCTTCTTTCAACTGTGAAATGCTGCATGTAAACACTGGTCAAGCAGAGGGATATACTTAGCAGGGCTGTGCTCGTTGGAGTAATTGCAGAGGGGTGAAGTCAGAAATGCTAATGGTGGTCTGTGTACTGTTCTAAGTGGTGCTTAATCTGAATGCAATGATGCAATGAAATACCCAAATCGGAAAATATGACAAGAGGGGCGGATATGACAGTATAGTTGTTTATTTTCACTAATGGACAGTGTACAGAGTATGCTGTGCTGCACTAATAAAATCATCACTTGTTTTATAATAAATAAACACACAAACACAGACACAGACATGGGAGAGAAAGAGAAAGTCACAGCTTTCCAGAGAGAAAAGCCCTTTACTGGGACTACACTTGTCTCTTAAACCAGCAGTACAAGAAACGCGGGAAGGCGTACTGAACCAGAGAACAACAATTGCAGATGACGGCACTCTAGTAATGTGATAGTTATATTGGATGATTGCTGATAAAACTCCCATGTGAGGGTAACAGGGTTTCTGAGAAGGGATGGGGGTGAGAGGAAACATAGCTATGACGCAGTTTTTTTTCAGTCTTGGACACAGAGGACAGAGAGAACCACAGTGAAATTCTCTTAAATGGCTCTTTTTCCTCTCCAACAATTTTAAGTCTAAACAGATGGGACTGATTTCAGCTATGAGTGATTTCAAACTACTAAAAACATCAGTGACTGACCATCAGAAGAGGCAGACATGAAAGAGGAAGCTTGATGGGAGACAAAGACACAAATCTCAGCACCTGAGAATCAATACCTGATATTCAACTTAACTTGCCGGTATAAATGTATTTGTTGAAAAGAAATATTAATAGGCAAAAACTGTAAAACACAGATATATTGACTTAATGGATATAATTTGGATGAACCAGTTTTCAGCATTTCCAACCTGCAGGTGACTTACGACCCTTTGGATTTGGGCTGAAACTGGGTGCAGCAACTTCTGTCTGGTGTTTAAACAGTTGGGTACAAATAAGTGTAGCTATATAGACACATATACATAACACATAAACAATCAAAAGTAGAAAATGTATAAAGCAAAATAATATATTTATATATTTATACATTATGCATTAACAAATGTACTTGCATTGATGGAGGTAGATAGCAAAGATTCAGAGGTAAAAAGGCAAATAGATGTTGCTGTGCTTTGGAGGAGAATAAGCACATAACGTGGCTGTAAAATCTGAAATTAAATGCAGGAATTTCTGTGTGCTTAGCAATAGTGTATACAGTACAGAGTATGAGGTGAAAGGAAAAAGTGGCAGGATGTTGCTGATCTCCTTGAGTTACCCATCCAGTAATCTGGTTCGGAGGGGTCTGGCTTGGCTGGCAGGGCTCTCCACAGTTAGCAGGAGGTGTTGAGGGAAATCTTGTCGGCTCACACAAAAAGCACGGAGTAGGGAGGACACCGGCAACCCTCAGAAGATGACTCTCGCACCCAGGAGCCATGACAGCCCGGGACTGAAGCTGCTGCCCAGAAGGTTCTAGGAAAAAAAGGGCCATATCAGACATGAAACAGTTAGCAACAACATTGGAAAAGTATTTGAAATGTTTCATTTGTGTTATTAAAATCCACTTTGCGTGCAATTTTAATGTGATTATAGCATTATAACACAGAAATTAGATTATAAAAAACTTTGATTTCCCTTACGGTTTCCACAAAAAATGAATATTCATGTGCTTAGCTAACAAGTACAAAGTCTTACACCATCTGTGTTGTGTAAGGTGTTTCTATTCATTCAGAAGCAGCTGCTACTTGATTCCATAGACATCCATTAATTGAGCTCATCATTCAACGTACTGTACCTTTAACTGCATCCAGCTTCCAGCCAGTCTGCAGATGGCTCAGCTATATTAAAATCCACACAGACCCACTACCAATAAATAGCTGTTTGGTTTACCTGGTGCTCTCTAGGCCGTCGCCTCCACAGCGGTCTGACTTTGACATGGCATCGCTCTGACACTCTGCACAGACCAGCCTCTCTCTCACCAGATGAGCACTCCACAGTTTACATGCTGCACTGGCCTGTTTCACCCGCAGGTACACACAGTAACTGCAAGCACAGAGGAAAAGGAAACATGTCAAAAATAACTTTGATTTGATCTTAAAATTTTGGACAAAAATATTGGCGTCAAAAAGTCTAATCAAGAGTCTACAGATGTAATCCTGTGAGAACTAAACTGAGTGCTGCTCATGCAGCTCTGTAGAGCTTTTTTAATATTTTGTTCTTTGGGTTGAACTGAGGACTTTTATTATTCACTCAGTGAATTTAATTCAGAGACAAAGACAAACACCCTTCCAATAGTAAAAAGCAATCCAACATGGCTTGATTGATGAAAGCCAAGTGGTGATCCAACCCAGCTGTGCTTGATCACAACTATCACTAGACAAAAGACAAATAAAACATCCAGATAAGAGAATTGTTCTATTTGAAGGTGATCCAGCAGTGTCATGGTCACCTGTAGTATCCTAATATAAACACAGCTCACTCTGTGCACTGGAAAAAATAATAAAGTCTTGTTTTTTAGCTCACTCTGTTCTCTGGCAGGCACTTTGAACTTTTGCACTATTTATTTTGTCTCTGATTTAGTCAGCTGTGACAAAACATCCCCAGTGAGGTGGTTTGTCAAAGAAAACATGAAGCTGCAGTTTCTTTTCTCAGTGATTCTTGAACACTTTGTCCACTAGTTACATTGTATATGTCAATGCAATATTATTATTCAGGTTGGATTTGTTTATGTGTTTGAAGAAGGTTTTGCTACAAATAAGCAAATTGTAGAGAATACATAATATCTTCTGCTTGATATATTCTGTCAGCCATTTTCATTATCATATACTTTAGGGTTTATTTTAAGATTATGTTGAAATGACAACTATAATGAGTTTATAATAAATTTAGTTTTATGCACACATGGAATTGCCAAAGGGACATTTCTTCACTTTTTTTCCCCCTGACACTGTGTCACTTGCTGCAATAGTTTATCACATTTACACATCTATATGACTTTCATCAGGTATATAGGCAGCATGACAACACTTCATATATATATATATATATATATATATATATATATATATATATATATATAAACTCACGCAGCTTAAAATGTTTTCATATAAAGACACAATAAGACCTTAACCATCCTAATTCCTGAAAGACATCAGCACAGGTCTGCGTTAAGCCTCTACAAGTAAAATAAGCACTGCATAATAGCCTCCTGACGATGTCCACCCTTCACATCTTTGTGAAATATTACTCATTCCGATTACAGATATAACTAGAGATCCAAAGACAACTACAGATCATCATTTCATTTCATTTTAACAGCCCGTTCCCTGGGTCAATTCCCATGTCAACACCAGGGCCCCAGATGTTTGTGTGAAATCACCGTAATGCTGTGTCATCCCTTTTGAATTGCTGACATTTATGAGTAATGTTCCTCCAATCACTTGATGCTTTCTATTTCAGTAAAAAACAAAGGTATCCAATGTCCATTTTAATCTCAGTGAAAGGCTGTGAGCTGTTAAGAAACCAGCCGTGTTTTATTCCCTGGTCTCTGATTTGTCCGACTCTGAGAACGTCTGCAATCCACTCGGATCAAAGATGACATCTATGCAGGGAGGGTTTACCTTTTACATGGATTATGGCTGCTTTATCAGTAAAGGTCAGCTCATGATGTAAATATTCAGTGACAGTGTTCATGTTACACAGTCAAAGCAATTTCAAGGCTCTGCATGCTATGGCAACCTTGGCCTTGGTCTGTACTTTTAATCTTTTGGAGTACAGAGTTGATCTTAAAATGACCTTTGAAACTAAGTTTAAAAGAAAAACTGTGGAGTAAAATCCAGCTGTATCTGAGAAGTTGAAATGCAGCTTTGGAGCTGGAAAAAGAGTTCATGCCAGAATGAGCAAGCTAACATCTGAAAATGTTCTTCATTGTTGGCAAAAAAGCATAACATTGTTATGCTTTTAAAGACCAAACATGCTTTTGAAATAATGAGTTTTTTAATCAACTGTTGGGTATAATAATTTACAAAAATACTTAATGAGGAGTATGGTCTAGACCTACTCTATTTGAAAGGTGTCCTGAGATGACATTTGTTATAAATTGGCGCTATACAAATACAACTGAATTGAATTGAAATTGAAACCCTTCAGATAATCTCTGTACAGTTCATATGATCATTCTACACTCCACACTTTTCAGCTGTAATTACCCCCACTCGGCATCAATTGCACATGAAAGCCGGCTCTACAGACAAAAACAAAGAGGGGTGGTTGGGTTGGTTGTGAGCGGTCCTGTGTGCTAGTTTGTAGTGTGTTAATAGAGGCCTTACCTGGCCTTCTCCTCCTTCATCAGCATGTGTGGTCGCCTCCAAGGGTCCTTGAAGTTCCTCTTGAAAGAGTCAGGCAGGATCTTTGCCACCTCTGCAGAAATCAAAAATCATGTCAGATAAGCTCTTGTTTCCACTGAAGAGCAGCTCATCCCATGACTCATTAAAATGACTCAGTGTTTTAAAGTGGTGTGATGGGCAGTGGTTCTTTGGAAATCTTCTTCTTGGAAAAGTTTTTACGTGTTCTGGTGTTTTATTACTGGGAGAGTTATTCAAGTAACTGAGGCGTTTGAAATAGTACAGCTGGAGATACGGCTTCAGAACAGATGTGTTAATTACAGTAAAAGGTACCCCAGAGAATACTGAAACACCAAATTATTATGTAACAGAGTTTAGAGCCAGAGTGCTTGCATAAATGCATGCATGTAGGTGCACATAGAAAAGGTCATGATCTCACCTTTCGCTGTGCTGCATATGGCGTTGTTTCCAAAGCATCCTCGACGCTGTTTGAGGTCAGGACAGGGCGTGCCTCCATTTCTAGGGGGAACGGACACTTGGCGACTCCTCTCTGTGCTGCCAACTCCACATGTAGATGTGCATGATGACCAGGGACCCCATGATCCCACCACACAGTCAATGGCTGCTAGGGAAGCAGGGAGACAGAGAGGTCAGCAGAGGATTTTAGATTTGAAAAAATCCAGTCCAGAGATGAAGATGAAGTAAAATATGAATAAGGAAAAATACAAAGAAAGAGAATTAACAGTTGTGCTTTCACAATAAATGCTCTCTGACACATGAATTGATCTTTACCCCAGAGGTACTTTCCCCTAATTGTTGCTGTCACGCCTAACTGCATGCTGAAAGTGTGCTGCAACACACACCAGACCCAGACATAGAGTTGCATAATACTGCACTGAGCATTTACTCAGGTAGGTGGGCAGCAAATGAGTGACTGGGTCATTACCATCTACTAATGTCAGATCAGCCAAACTCCAGACTCAGGAAGTCTGCGACCCAGGTCAAACGTGGGGGGGCATTTAAATAAGGGGCTAATTTTGCATCCTGTTCTCTCCGGTTTCCGTCTACCCCACACTTAAACACACACTCACACACAAATAGAGCACACCACATAAACACAGCAGCAGCAGCAATCAGGCTTCTCGTTCAGTAGGCTGATTTAGCCAATTACGTCAGGCTAAGAGGAAGCCGTATTAGTTAGATGGCTGCTCTGATCAAAGCCAAGCATCTCCAGCAGTAATCAAGCCTTGTCCAACACAGAGATTTAATAACGGCAGACATTTAACAGCTTTGTTTTTGGGAGGAAGAGCCCACTCCATAAACATAAACATCATAATAATGAGAGAGGCTCTCAAATGCTCAAGCACTAATTGATAAATGCAAACAGATACGTTTACACCAGAATACTTTTTTCAGAGAGCCTGGTATTCTTTGCAGACAATAGAAGTTTAATACAATGAGAGCAGGTGCACACAGTGTGAAGCTCTTAGATGTTCTTGATGAAATTATAGGGAGGGAGAGGATAAATATACCATAACTGAATCTAATCCTCCTTTGCCATCTAATCTACCTAACTCTGTCTTTATAATACACACTCACCCCATAGTACAATGCTGCAAGTGAATAAGTATGTGTGTGTGCGTGTGTGTGTGTGTGTGTGTGTGTGTGTGTGTGTGTGTGTGTGTGTGTGTGTGAACAGGAGAAAGAGAGAGAGAGAGCTTTCAAGGTGCCGCCTGTTCGGTTCATTCCCATGGTCCTGTTGGGGTTTTGAAGGGGGGGCGGCTGTCTCAGTGACACAGCCGATCCACAAAGCCACTGTGGAATCTCTGCATTCCTGCACATTAGTGCTGCCCACCTGACACTCGCCTTTCCCAGATCACGACACACACATACGTACACACACATCGAAAACAATTTCTGTCAGATTAAACCCACCCACTTGGGCTTGTTCCACCTTCAGTCTTCACCCTAAAACACACAGACATACACATTACCCTGTGTACACTTGTAGAGTGACATGAATTTTCTTGAAAGAATGAGGGGCGTGAGCGAATCAGACACTGCAACCGTATCAGCTTCCCTACTCTTGCCTCCTCCACCTCTTCTTATCCTTACTCATGTCTCCTCGCCTTTCCTTCCCTCTTTTACATCCTCTGACGTTCACAGGGGCGGTTTTTATGTTGCTGTTTTTCTTTCTCAATAGTGGGAAAATCACAAGCAAGCAGTGCAGCTGAGGTCTTTACTGCAGAGGGTGCGCAATGAAACTGATAGGGTCAGCGAGTTCCCGTACCAAAGGGGGAAACAGGGCTATTACCCTCTGATGAAACTGACATACACACTAACAGGACTAAGGCCCTGTCTGGAAGTCTCAACCTGTTGGCCCCAAGCCACCAGAGGTCAGAAGGCAATTACCAAACTGTGGTGGTCCCCTGCTCTGTTTCTGGTACCACCAGTGCGACAGTCCCACCACCCACATGATAGCCCTGTCTGACAGTCTGACACAGCCTGACCTACAGAGCTTACAGCCACTGTTGTCCCCAGTCCCCATTGTTGACGAGAAAGTCCCTAGTTGGAAAGCACACCACCAACTCTGACCTCTGACCCCAATACAGGAAACAAATGGCACTCGTTGTCAGCATATTCAGCTTTTTGTCTTTTCGATCAGCTGATATTATTACAAAGTGTTTTCAAGCACTTAAAAGTTGAAGTCTCCTTCTGTAATTAAACAGAGACGTGTTTTATCAGACACTGACTTTAGATCTGTATTCTCATATCTTTTGGAGCACATGGTTGATGTCAGAGCGACCTCTGAAACGCTGACAAACTGATACCAGCTAAAGAATCTGCAAAACTTAAAAACATATTTTCTCAATCAGCTTTGTATGGATAAAGGGATCCTACACGAAAAAATACCTTTCTGACAAAATAAAAAAATAAGTTAATAAAGTCAGACAGGTTGGAAAAGGGTTGGAAAAAGATGAAATCACATATTTCTAAACTTCAGGATTTAGACAGTTGGTGTTTCCATTGGTTACTGTCAATAAATCTTACACAAATACTTAGTGTTCGGGGGATTTAAAGCATTAGATCTAGAGGATGTGTTACGCTGTGTTTGAAATATAAAAAAATACACATATAGTTCAGTGTAACAGGAGTTTGCTTGGAGGAATCTGTGGCAGCAAATTTTCCAGGTAGCTGGAAGAGCTTCAGACAAATGCCACCAACTGAACCAAACCACTGAATGTGTATCCAACATCAGCACTTTTATCTAAGGACTTGTCAGCCAATCTGCAGTCACACTTGTTAACTGAGATAAAAAGCGTGCTACATAGCTTTTTAGATTGGCATTCGTTTGCCTTTTCTTTCACTTTCCCTGAATTCTGCTTCCATTTTAGGGTTTCATAACAAAAGAGTTATGAGACATGCCCGCCCAATTTGCTTTATCTTCTTCTCCCTTTATCACTTTGTCCCACTCGGCCTCTTGTTCTTTCTCCCCCATCTGCCTCTTTTTCACTTTGCCACCCCCTCCATCCACCCCCATCTCCTCTCTGATAGGACCCAGATGTCCAGCTGGTCTGGAGGACGTCTGCACCCCAAGACCTCCCTAGCCGACCTCCCTCCCATGTAGAGAGTTGGGCCTTGGTCCCATCAGACAAGCCTTATAATGTTCAGCAACACAAGGGAGAGCCATAAGCCTCTTAATAGGGGTGAATGACACAGGACTAAGCCCTAATAACAGGTTAGCACATAAATGTTTCCTGTAGACACCTTGAAAAGAGGAGCCAAACAAACCATCTTATTAAAAGGATTCATTACAAACACAGCTGATACAAATTTTCTGTTAAAATTGCAGGACCTACAAAGTGTTTGCATTGCATGGGCTCCCAACACTTTATTATGGCAAAATGCTAAAGACATGGCACACGAACACAAAAGAAAATTGTGAATACTGACAACAATAAAACAACAACCAAAGAAGAAACCAAAAAAAGGAAACAGAAAATGTGCTCTTGTCAGTGGAGGGTTCACCTGCTTACCTTCAAACATAAAGTGAACTTTACTTCAAAATAATTCACAGAGTTGTGGCATCATCTGAAGAATGAAAGCATCTATAGTGGCTCAGGTTCAATGTAAAAACAACTTAGAGAACAAAGAAAAGTATACAGAATCATCTGGGTTTTTTCTGATTAACAACTTGTTGTATGCAAATAATTATTTGAAAATGATGGACAGATTAATAATATCAAAGTTCAAAGACTACCTCATCACCATCATAAGTGCCTTAAAGATGCAGTGTGTAACATTTAGGAGGATCTATTTTCAGAAATTGAATATAATAGTCATAGGTATGATTTCATTAGTGTATATTCACCTGAATAATGGAGTTGTTGTGTTTTTGTTACCTTAGAATGATCTGTTTTTATCTACAGATGCTGCAGGTTGCCTCCCGTGGAATCCACCGTGTTGTGTTCAGTTAGTTGCAATCTGCAACCTCACCACTAGATGCCACTAACCTTACACAGAGGTCCTTTACGGGAATAATAAAAATGACTATTCCTGAATTGCACACAAGAGTCTACAGCCATGCTAGTGGTTCTGCAAGGCTGTCCATAAGCACAACGGTGCTTCAAGCTAACTGCCAACAGTAGCATGCTTAAAGGTTCACTATAACAATGCTAACATACTGATGTTAATTAGGCATGTTTACCATATTTATCTTTTTAGTTTAAAATGTTAGCATGCTAACATTTGCTAAAGATGTCTCTAAAAATGTATTTGTGTTTAAATAAAGCAAATGTGGTTGAATCATACAAATTTTAAAAATCGTTCAAATCAATCAATTATCTTGCCAGGCATATTAGTTTTTGGCTTATTTTTTGTGTTTTGTGTTATGTTTTATCCGTCTCTGATTTTTCTGCCACAGCATGGAAGCACTGAAAGATGATTAAATGTGTCCGTTACTCCACAGACCTGTTGTGAACAGTTTTCCTTACAAATACCTTCTACTGAATGAACTATTAACACCCTTCAAGTTTACTTTGGAATAAAACATTTACGTTTTCTGATCACGAACAGGCCAAAAAAAGGACATCAATCCTGATACTGTACATGCAGTATGTGAGTACCAGGAGAAACTGGACGGAAGGTTGTTTGTCCCAAACACTACAGCAGCTGGTCCGTTTCAGCCAAGCTGGGTAAAAGCATTCACCACTCATAGAGGTTAAGGAAAGAACGCGTGGGAAGCAAGGAAGAAAAAGCAAACATCATGGCATGACAGCATACCGCGCCCTAAAGAGAAGTAAGAGAAGCAGAGGTGCCTGCAGGAGAGACAGATGAATGATGAGCAAACCTCTGGTGTATCTGAGGCAGAGGCTACAATGTGTCTTCCTGCTGGAGTGAGAACTACCAGACGCCACAGTAGGAGAGAGGAGCTTCCCCTTCCATCCTCCTGTGGGCCAGTTTCATCTCTAGAGTCTATGAAGAGGAATGAGCAATTAGAGACTTACTGTAGGGCTGACATGGAAATTATGTGATGCACCAAAGGTACTCCTACAACAGGAGGCAACTCCCCACACTGTGTCCTGTATCGTTCATTTGTGACGTTCACTGGGTGTATCCAGCTTTCTTTAAGCCGTGTTAACTGTTAGTGCCCTGTAGTAAAACAGCAAGGTGAAGTTTATCTAGCCAAACAATATCTCATGTGTCTTATTGAAGAGGCAACTATTGAAGCTGCACTGAATCCTCTGTTAGTGCAGAAATACACATTTTCTACCTCTCCCATGATGCATTTGTACCTTTATGTTTCAAAATAAGATCTCCTTCTAAGGGTCAGACAACAACAAGGGTGCTCATTATTGCTTAGTTGAAAATATTTCTTTATGGCGGAACTGGAAATAAAATATATATATAAGTGTCACTTTCTACTTCTGTCAACTCATTTGCAAGAATAAGAAAAATTTACAAACAGCTTAACCTTGCCAAGTTGGCCAAAAATACTTTTTACATTTTGTTGTGAGACATTGTCTAGAAAATGTCCACTGAGAATCAAGAGAATAGTTTTAGATTACAAGTGACAACTTGCTGAATATCACCTCCTAAACCTCAAAAACTACTTAAACTAACTTGAAGATCAATAACTGATGATGACTGTATGTGTCGTAGGGAGTAATTTCTTCAAAACATTCCACCACTGACTCCACTTGTTTTAAGTTAATACTTCAAAGCTCTTGACAGAGTAATATAAATATTAAGCGCACAGCAACTTCCTCCGAGCTGTTTGCAACCAATACAAATTCCTGCCAAATACTCCATTTGTACAACATCTCTGGAGTAAATCGTATCACGCTCTAAAAGAGCTTTAAGTGTTTGTGTCCAAGCGGTGCAAACAGCCTGATGATTCTTTCTGTCTCTCTTCTGATGTCACCCACTCCAAGCTCTTTGCTCAGCCACAGCTGACACGACTAAATTACAGACTGTGACAGACAGTACACAGACAGACTCCTTGATGCATTACAGAGCTGTAGGATCAGGATCAGATACAGTCTGGGGGTAATGTGGGTGAGAAAACATCAGGGTGCTTTGATGGAAGTGAGCCAAGCCACAAGCTGCGTTGTGTGTTTATACTGTGCAGATGCTCAGGTTGCAGAGGGAACAAGTCACAATGTTTTTCGCAGCATCACTCAATGCTCACTGATCCATACAGCATCTATAGGTCATGGCCAAGTTGACGTTTTCATGTTCAGATTCAGACAGATTAAACATTGTAAAACCATTAAAAACATCCCTATATACATATATATATATTTAATTTACAGCCCTAACTATAAATCTTGCCCATTTGTAGACAATTTTTATGCCTGTCACATGACTATTCAGCCTAGATGCTGTTCAGAAACACCTACATCACACCATGGTCCCCGAGAGAGGTCTAACAACACATGAGGTCCACAATGCTAAAAATCCTCATCTGACACATGACTGAACTGATGCACATGGCAGCCGTTAGCTGACCTGTGAGGGACCAGCTGCTGTTGAGCAGTACAATGATGACTCAACACTGACCTGAGGTGCTTTCCTGTGCTTATTCTGTTAAATTTCAGCTTGGCAGGCACATGGGATGGATCAAGTGATGTCTGGCATGAACTCAGCTGGCTGCTGGATGATAAATGTTGTCTCTACATGCCTTTTTGACTGATTGGTAGATAAAAAATACAAACTGAGATTTGAGCGTGTAATATTTTTTTCCTATTTGGTGTTTTAGCTACTATAAACCACAACTCATTCATTTATGTATTTATTTATACTTTAAAAGCCTCACTCATCTGTCTAATGCTCATCAGATAAGAACATATATATATATATATATTCTTACAAATGTAATGTTGCACTATTAGGGCATCACAGTATTTAAGAATTTCTGCACAGAGTTTACAGCATTCAAACAGTTGTACTGGTGTTTTTGGTGTTTTTTTTTTAACCCATTTACTGGTCTAGAAGTCACATTTAATTTACACACACTTTCAAATAATGTAATTTTAATTGTAGATATATTAGAAAAGTCTGCAACAAGACAGAACAGTATTCTTACCAAAATAAAAGCAGACATGATGCTTACTGAGATGGATCACTTGTCTCAAGCCCAAGATCACAAATTTGCACCAACTTACAAATTGATTTCTACTAAAAAATTTATTCAAATGTGCAAAACCGTATAATGGCTTTTGGAAAACAACTGCAGTAGAACAGTGTGCTGCAGCTCCACAGTGATTAACAGGTGGTTCAGCTATCTGTGCAGTAAACAGTGAGGTCTACTAAAGTGTGTCACAGTGTCCATTGCAGAACTTTTGTACATGCTTTTAAGTGATTAACTCAAGTCTGGATGAGGCAGCCTGTTCACATCACAGCACAGATACAGGATTCAACCAAAGGTTCACTGTGTATACACTCATGTGCCTAAATAGAGGGATCGCTGAAGCATTTTAAGTGCTCTTTGACTTGCTGGACTGACCCTGCAGGTGCTTGTTAGTGTGCACTTAAGACAAGGGTCACACTCTGAGTGTATCTATACGCAGATAATCACTCCTCATGAACTTGAGACGTTTCAACATACTGTAAGAGCTGAGTCTGTCACATCTCAGACACAGCTCTACAGTAGGTAATCCTGACCATCTTTGGCAGTCTGTTCCCATGGTGTCCATTCCCTCATTTGTCCATATATAGCAGCAGCCAGGATGGTGAGGGAAGAGGTTACCCACATTCGTATTTTAAGGATTCTGAACAATTAACCTTGATCTCATTATTAAGTGCAGGTGTTTCTTTCATTGTTCAAGAGAAAACTACCATGCTGATTTGTGCCTCTGTTATGATCCATCACTTACACTTTCCTACCATTTCATGGCCAGGTCAAGGGTCAACCCTACAAACTTAAAAACACATAGACACAAACTGCTGTTGAAAAATACACCATGAAGACAGGAGAGTACCCCCTACTAATGGCACTGAAAACAAATAGCCTTAATGGACGCACTAGAGACAGCTATGTGTAGTATGTCTCACTGTCTCCATGTCACCTCAATGCCAGCCATCTCTGGCTCAAACTGGACTACAATGAACAACAAGCGTCACTGAACAGGACACAGTTAGAATCCACACAAATCTGCGCAGTATATATGTGGTCATTTCTCCCAAAGCTTTCAAGCCTTAAAAAATCAGCAAATGCTGAAGTCATTTTATGTTAAAAAAGAAGAAAAAACCTGTCACGAGGATAGAGTAGGCAAACTCACCAGATATTTGGCACACAAGCTGATAGTCCTCGCAGCAGTCTCCGGTTTTCTGACAGTAGGTATCACAATAGCACACCGTTTTTCTCTTGGTGTACTCAAAACATTCGTTGTTCCGGCCGGTGCAGCAGTTTGGGACCTCCCTGTCCCAGCAGCCTGCTTCAGCCTTTGGAACAATTTCCCCGCAGAAAAACGCTAAATATCCACAAACGACAAACCCAAGACGCGCTGAGCTCCATCCATGCGCTCCCATGCTGGAAACTTCTCTTGGCCCACTTGCTCCGCACGCTCCGCTGGTGTATGCCTCAGTTTGGATGGTGCTTATACTAAATTGTGGTAGAAAGACGCTGGTGATATTTTCTATTTTCTATATAAACCCAAATCCGGGGTAACTTCGGCATTGACACCTACACGAACAACTGATGCGTAAAAGTGGAGCCTGTGTGCGCACCAGCTCTCCTCTAATCAGACAGTCGGACACCGCCCCTTAAAGCTTTAAGTTGGTTTGTGTGTTTTGTTTCTCTCTCTCTCTCTCTCTCTCTCTCTCTCTCTCTCTCTCTCTCTCTCTCTCTCTTTCCCCCCCTCTACACGTAACAACAATGGCGCACTTACAGAAGTTCTGATTATCCTGTCAAAGAGTGTTGGACTACCTCTGCTGCTTAAAAACAACTGATTGCAGATTAAGATGATGTACATTTTTGGGAAAGACTGCCAAACCAAACAAAATAACAACCCCTAATGGAGGCATTTATAGTGACTTGCACGGTTGCACCTAAAGCATTTCAAGGAATCCAAAACATTACCTCGACACGACTGAACATATATCTGTGAAAAGCATCTTAAAACTGTCTGATCCGTTTGGCTTCCAATCAGACAATCCAATTCAGCACCACTGACAGCGGCGCCACCTCTTTATGTCAAAATACCAAATACGGATACTAAAAAATACGATTCAGCCAACAGCTACTGCGAAAAGCGACGAGGTCCTTTTGGAGCTGCTACAACGAAATGATCTCCACTCATCCCGTAGAGCATCTACGCTTTTGAAGGAAGACTGGAGAACAATAACATTACTCACCCTTCACTGGTTCAGAGTGAATGGAGGCTCTCGCGGAGACACTGAGCAATGGGGGGATACTGTAAAAGCGCACCGGACGAGAAAGACACGAGACAATCGCCATTATTGAGAGTTATAAAGGATTCAAATCCCCTACTTCAGTGAAACCTCCAGTGCCATGTGGTTCACATAGTATAAAGGAAGTTGTGTTTGATGTATCTGTAAGATATAAGGATTAGCTGCTCTCATTGCTGTTTGGAGACCAGTTAAAAAGTTGAACCTTAGTATGTATCCTGGGGGCTTTAAGACTAAATCTTGGGGTCACAAGACAAAATGTGAGACAGAAAATACATGTTTTTGTTGGAAAAACTTTCTTTTATGACTTTTCTGTACTTTTTTGCTTTTTACGTGGGAAATACTGGACATTTTAACCTCTTCAGGGCTCTAATGATTCTCAGATGAGACAGAAAACTCACGTCTGCATTAAGGCCATGATCTGTGATGTAAGGTCACAAGGAGACATAGTTTCATCTTAAGGGGTCACAAGCCAATACGGTTGGAATCCACCATTAGAAAGTGTTTCCATCTATGAAACACAGTGGATCAAAAGTATAACTACAACTACTACTTTACATAATCGAATACTCAGTTAATTGTTATTGTAGCCTTCACGTTGGGCACGATAAAGTAGTGGAGCTGTAGAGCAGGACTCCTCTGAGAAACTCAACCTTTCATCTCTTGAGTTCAAAGATGATCTGTGACTAATGTCTGTGAAGATGATGAAGAGAGATTTTTAGGCAATTTTGGACCAGTCCTCCCTCCAGCAGCCGCAAGGAGGAGGAGGGAGTGATGATGTTAGGATGAAGGTAAGTTGGTAGGTTCTTTGACCCTTCTCATAAAGCCCTATTGTACAGATATGAAGGGAGAGAAGGCCTCTCTCATCACTGAGGTGTGTGTATGTGTGTGTGTGTGTGTGTGTGTCTGCGTGAGAGAGAGAGAGAGAGAGAGAGAGAGATATTCACAATGTTTCATGTGTTTGAGGCTCTGGCAACAGCTCCACCTACTGTTTAAGAGGATTTCTTTGCATGTACTGTATTTGTGTCTTAGTATATTAGTTCACAGTTCATGCTGCCATTCCAGGTGATCTCCTGTTAAACTGGTATTTATTAACTTACTATAGACTCCTATTCTGCTGCATTGGACACTGATTATTCTGACAGTCCACTGGCCTACACCTTCACACACAGCAGTGGTAGAAAGTAACTAAGTGCTGTATTTTTATGGCACTTTTTGAGGCTATTTTATACTTCGACTCCACTATATTTTTACTCCAATGCATTTACTTTAAAGCATTATTTACTTTACAGATTCAGATTATTAATACAAAATAATATATATGATTTTTAAATAAGAATAATTCAGATTATTAATACAAAGTTATTAAAAGATCTGAGTACTTGTCCCACACACTCACACACAGTATTTCAGTACACTTTTCTCACTTCCTCATTCAAGCCAAAATGTCCACCACAAGCTGTCCTTACTCCCATCTTCTGCAGAGAGCCATGCATTCCTTCTCACAACAAACACTGGGGCACCAGGGATCTGGTCTGTGTGTGTGTGTGTGTGTGTGTGTGAGAGAGAGAGAGAGAGAGAGAGAGAGAGAGAGAGAGAGACTAAGAGAGAGAGATGGGTAGTTGAATTACTGTACATGACAATCAGCCAAAACTGGAACAATGGGGTCCCTGTTCAGTCCTCATCTACCTGCCCCCCATGGTTTGTCCTGACGTGATCTGTTGTAACCAAAAGGGCAGAACAACAGACGATCGGGAGAGAGGGAGGATAAAAAACACAACCAGTCTGCATGCCTTCAAGTTTTCAGATGCTTGATTTAATGAGTTTTGAAATCCCCCTACTACAAAGGACTTTACATTAAGTACGGACAAAAGGAGGACACAGTGTTTATTGCACAAGCGTCATCATTAAGAACCACATAGCCTACACACACTGCATTGGAATACATTGATTTGCACTAACAATAAAATTTTATCTTGGCTATTTGGCAGTCGGGAACACAAGCATTTTGTTTGGCGAAACAAAAAAAAAACCCAAAATATGATTTTAAAAATAATTCATCTGTAATGCATAAAGATTATGACTGTTTTCATGTCACTAGTGATGGTAAAAGGAGGAAAATCAGTTTTTGCTAATAAAAAAACAATATAAATGTACCACAGAAATCTCAAATTGACTGTAAGATGATTAAAGAGTTTAACACTATATGTCGATAATAGATGAGAATATTTCTAGTACCCACAAACCATAACAGTAAAAGGCACATGAGTGAGAAGTAAAAACAAACCCTGAATGAAACAGAACAGCACTGGAAATGGATTTGAACAATTCATAACCCTTCAGATTTATCTTATGACCCGCTCGTTCCCAGATGGGAACCGTTGGTGTGGAGAAGGGAGAATCACAAAGATTGAAAACTTCTTCTAATGTAAACAGAAGACAAATAAGCATCCGGTGGTAGTATGCTGATGAACAGCGGTGCTTCCATTGGCAGGGAATAAGAGGTCTGAGGTTACTTCGTCTGTATGACTCAGTGCCGGTCATTTAGACTCACAGTGAAATAGAGCAATTAAATATTTTCCTAACATCTTAAAAACACCTTCACACCCAGACCCGATCACACAAAACACACGACACAAGTGGCACAAGTTAACAGCAAATAGCTTCTCAACCATCTACATATTCAACATTCAACTGCCAATAAATACATTTATTAAGTATAATATAAGTCATAATATTTGCTCCTCTTTTGTTAAGATCATTAAGCTACTGCATGTTCTTACTCTGAACACACCTTCATAGTATAACAGGTTTGGCATTTGGCACAGGAATAAAATATATCTTACTTTACACATAAAATATAATGCTAGTAATTAACTAAATTAGAATCTACACTGTATAAAAATAATTGGCATATTACATTTTTTTGAATAATTCTATTAAAGGCCAAGTTATGGAGGTTACTGCAGCTTATGGGGCTGTAAACTGCAACCAGCTGTAGTCTGGCTCCTTTTGATTTAAAACCATACTAGGAGACAGAAAGCAACACTAACTCAATAAAATCCAGTATGACACCTGCATACTCCCAGTAAACATCAGTAAAACAGCTGTGAATGACTAGAAATTATGTTCTTCACTGAAGGTGGGTATCTTACAGAGTAGGTTTATAAAGACAGTGAACCAAATAACCTGATTTCTGTAAAAATGTTGTTTATAACCACAAAAATGTTTAAAGGAATCACATTGTTGACCCTAATACTCAGGGTTTGATCTCTTGAACGAAGTATCTTTTTTAACAATTATTTGGTAAACTTTATAATCCCACTTTGTGAAATCTACCCTTGTTCTTATCAGGTGTCTCGGTGCTGAGCAGCAAAACTCTGCATACACTCCAGCTGTCCAGATGTGGGCGACATTGAGCCTCTTTTCAGGCTATCTTTCTTCTCTGCAGCCACTGTCTACGAGCTACTCAACTTCCTGGTTAGCATATGACACGGATCTAAGTTCAGCTCTCTACCAGCGGCTGGTTTTTATGATACAGAAAAGGTCTGTGAAACTTGGAACTGTGTCTGATGCCTGGGAAGCAGGAAGCCGCCGCCCCCTCTGTACGTCAAATAGCTCATTCCGTCTTCCAGACCGTATTCAGGACCTTTACCACCTCCTCATAGATGATGAAAACTATGGCCACATCCAGACACACACGGCCCAGCCGAGGAACTGTCCCTTTGTAAAAACTACAGATGGACACAAAGTGAGAGAAGGGTAAATATAAAATATCAGTATTGAGGAAAAGGCACATTTATTGTTGGCTGATACATCTCTATATCAGTAGTAGCACTACAGTAACATACAGCCATTCATTCTAGGTAATAAATAAATAAAAATTGGTTGTTTAATTCTACTGAATGTAACATAAAGCATTATACGGATAAAAGATGAAAAAAAATTATTATATATACTCAATACTAGGGTTATAAATAGGTGTTTAGGCTTGCTGTTGAAAAGGGGATAAAAGCCCCCAAAAAAGACTCAAATAAAGTGGAGGCGTACTCACGCTGCCAAGCCCTCATGTCTCAGGATCTTTGAAGCACAGTCCAATGTGCTTTTATATTTATGTGCTTCCAGACCCTTTGGAAAGAAAACAAAAGGCAATGTTATTTCTAATTAATGTCAGTAGGGGGCAACAACTTCACAGGTTTGAATTAAATCACCAGCAAGAAACACAAAGACCTTGAGATTTGGCTACAGCCATCATATAATGTACCTGCATCCTCGTTTTGATTACATCCAGTGGGGTGTTTCCAAAGACACTGGCAGCTCCAGCTATGGCTCCAAAGGCTCCAGTCAACAATGGATTGATAGCTTTGTT